AACTTCACCTCACACCTGCTCATGTTCCCCAACCATTTCCAGAGGCAAGGACCCTTAGATCCTCAAACTTTGCAAATATACACCAGCTTCGCCTGCCGGCCTCCACCAGGGCCTCAAGGGAATTAGTTCCCCTCCCGGGAAGTTCCTGTCCCCAAAGAGTGATGCAAGGAGACACAGATGTACACTGCACAATGGACTTCCTTTCTGCCCCTTCTTCTGGGAATCAATAGGAAGGGGACGTTTAAAATAGTAACACACAGCGACAGGTGGAAGTCACCATGCTCAAGTGACAGATCTAAGTTTGGGTAATGCTAAGCTTGCTTTAAATAAAAATAAAGATGGTGAGATGCTCATGCAAAACACAAACTTGCAATACAAGATCTAAAATCAGGCTTAAATTTGACAAAAAAATTAATGGGAGATGGACAAACGGCTCCATTAAGAGCACTCACTGCTGCCCCAGAAGACCTGAGTTTGGTTCCCAGCACTCATGGCAGGAGGCTCACAAACAATCCCACCTCTAGGGTTTCCAACACCCTCATCTGGCCTAAGAGAGCACCCATACACTTGGCATATACTCTCAGACACACACTTAAAAAACAAGCACATAATAGTCTTAATAAAGAGAATACTCAAAATAAATGATTTGAGCTTCATGTAAAAACTGCAAATACACACAAACATACTCAGACTCCATCTGACAAACTTCCAAACACAGCACCATCTGGTAACATGAATGACTTCACAAAGTTGTGACAAAAAATCAAGCTTGCTTCTGAAGCCAGAGAGACCTGCACAGCTGAAATGTCTCTTTGAGCCTTCCATTATTTTCACAATGGGACAATATTAACACTAATTTTACTTCAGCCCTCTCTTCCTTTGGCAAGTAGCATATATTTAAAAAACAGGGAAAAAATCTTGATTTCTATACCCTTAAAGTTATACATAAGAAGAAAAACTGAAAAAACAGCACTATATAAAATTATATTTTATGAAGTGTTGCTAACCTACATAGTGAGGCACTAAAACCATAGTAGAAATAATTTCTTTTCTTTTCATGACAGAAATATTGTGTTCAAAAGCACTGCCACTCTGTAATCATGTTACGAACAGAATGTGTCTGAAGAAGTGTTAAAATCTAGATTGGAATGCTGAGGGAGTGGGTAGAGGGAACAAACATGTTTACAGTCTGTTCAAATCTGCAACTTCAAATGTTCCACAGAAATTGTTTGGAACAGACTAGGGAGATGGCTTGGTAGGTAAGGCACATTCTGGGTAGGCAAATTATGAGGACCACAGTTAGGGTCCTGGGCAAGTGCCTGAAGACCGGGGGTAGGGAGGCATGCCTGTAACCATAGCACTCGGGGTGGAGATGGGCAGATGCTGGTGCCTCATAAGCCATCCAGACTAGCCTACGTGACAAGTTTCAGGACACTTGTATCAAAAACTAAAGTGAAAGCTGGTAGACACCAACATCAACCTCTGGACTCCAAATGTCTGTGTGTAGGTGAATGCTCCTTCCTGTACACACGCAGGCAGACACCCTACACACACACACACACAGAGAGGCATACACTCCACAAATACACATGGATACACACAAAGAGAAAGTTGTTCTAAGCAGTATTTTAAACGTGTTTTAGTTTATAAATCAAAGTTGTTAAATATACACTATTAAAACTTTTAATGTTCAAACCGACCTGGCCACCAACTCCCAAGTCCCGTAAGACAGGCTCCAGGACTCCTCTTGTGAGTTAATTTCTAATATAATCAGTCACTGTGCCTCTCTTTCTGACCAGATACCATCACAAAGACCTGGACACTTGCTGGGGGAGTTACAGGTGTGCTGCAGCATGCCTCTGTGGTCATTAGGGAGTGGGTGCCTCATCACTCCTTCCACATGGATTATGCATGTTCACTTCAGTGTGGCTACTCAGCAAAATGTTTACAGTGAAGTGAGCTAAGCTTCATGGCCACATGTTTGGGTTAGCCCTCCATCTGTCATTCGTGGAGACCGACTGAATCCTAAGTTTATTTATTAACCAATTGGAAAGAAAAAGCAAATATAAATGGCTCCTACTGATCTGTGAATAAGACTCAGCACAAAAGTGAATAGAGTCATTCAAATGTACTCGAAAAACTTCAGACTACCTCTCCTTGAAAAGCAAAATGCCTGGGGAAGCTGGCTCATATATGACTGCGTACAGTCACAGAAGCATGAAGAGTACTCAGTTCTGTGTCGTTGGTGGACATTGGCTGCAAATTAAATTCTGAGTCACAAACTGCTGAAAACCAACGCACTAGGACGGGCGTTCCTATACCCCTTACAGCTCTTGAACTGCTACTGTTCTTACTGCGCTGCTCATCCAAACACCCCACTCCCCCACACTCCGTGTACCCAGGATACATGTCTCCTCCGCCCACCAACCAAAACACCTCCTGTTCCACAACAGAGAGGATATTAACTGTTCGTCTTTTCTCTTCGTATACCTTGCCTGAGAAGCCAAGGCCAGCACAGGTCTGTAAGCAATTGCAGGCAGCAGGAAGGACACACACTTAAAATAATCGAATGGCTTACTACAGATGGGCTAAATTTAATGTTTACAGACGAGCAAAACAATCTCGGAGCACCACATGCATCCACACTCTCAGACAAATCACAATGAGCCTTGCCATCAAAATAAACACTCTGTTAAAGAAACGTAGTTATTAGATGACAGTAAACACGAAGTGACATCATAGTAGTGTCACAAGTCTGTCCACTCAGAGTCTTTCGTTTCCCCATGGCTATTTTGCGGGCCAAGATGGACTCTTATGTCGACATCAGAGTTTCTGAATCCCAGCAGCATTACTGCCTGGGGTAGGAAACCCTCCGTTGTTGAGTCTGTCCTAGGGACTGTGGGTCACTTAGCTTTACAGTGACCCACTCAACAGATGCCTGGGGCATCCCACAACAACTATGGCAATCAAAAATGTCTCCACACACTGCCAAATGTCCCCAAGGGGGAAAAACTGCCTGGACAAGAGAACCACCGATCTAATCAATGCCAAGTCCTTTAATCTACTATAATGATAGGACAAGAGTTGACCTACAGGAATCTGCACATTACATAACAACCTAGACCAAAACTAACAACCACACTTCTCCTTACTAAGCAATCATTTGCCTTCCTTTAAACCTGCTCCCTTTCATGAAAATTTCCTCCTCAAAGCACAAGGGAAGATCTCTAATCTTCTCCAGGAGGGACAGAGCCTGTCATTGCAGGAGATCCAGAACACACCCTCTACGGTCCCCCAAGATACAAGCATGGAAAGTTCTAAAGCCAAATTAGAGCTGCTGCCTGGGCTCTCTCACCCTGACTGAGGCACACCTTGCCATGACAGGCTTGTGGTTTCCACTCAAGCAAGTTGTTCTGCCGGCTTCCCACAATCCCAGTTTCACTTTGTCAGTAATTTCATTCCACTGGAGGCTGAGCCCAGATACTGACTTCTTGTCAACGTTTTAGGCCCAGCCACTCCTGAAAGCGACTCCAGGCAAGCCCTATATGCAACCGCCTTGAAATTAGGGGCCAGCAAACATGTTTCGCCTAGTTCTCAAGTCTAGGCTGCTGAGGTTCAAAGAGATACGATTGTAAAGGGGAACTCGCTTCACCTTCATACACATCGCCGGCTTAAGGGAATAACAGTTGGAAGGCTAGAGTTTCTTGGCCCAGATAGGTGTTAGGAAAAGAAACTAAACAAACACACTTCTGAATGGAAATGAAAAGGACCTTGTGTGTGGCAGAGTAAGTATTTTCAGCAACACAATTTAGGATTAGAAATGTCAATGCAACAGAAACGTGCAGACTCCCAGGCACGTATCGCCGCTGTGGAGTTGGGAAGCCACTACAGAGAGTGGTAGGTCGGTGTGGGACGGCTTGTTCCTTTGAAATATTTACTGTTCGATTTTAAAGGCACTCGTACTGCTTGAGACTTCCAGGTTAGACTGCCAGGAGACAGTGCAGACATCGTAAATATCTGTGGCATTGTCTGTCTTCAGGAAGCAATGGCCAGGTTTTAGACTCGTTAGTTGGTTTCAATAATGACTAAGGCTTCGGTACTGGGACATTAAGCACATCATCTTTATTCCAAGCACAGACAGGGTTTTCCCTTTTCACTATTTCTACACACCGAGCTTACTTCCTCACTTGGAAAAATGTTCACCAGGTCCAAGAGCCTAGATAAGGCGTTAAGCATTATTTCAGAATTATATAACTTCCATGTCACATTTACCTGGCGACACCATTGCACTAGTGAGTTCCTGGTTGCAGATTGGGCTTGGAGGAGTGGGGGGACTCTCCATTCTCCTCAAACCATTCATTCACTCATGGATACTGCTGCCCACACAAACTCCAACAGAATGGACACAGACCTGTGTGTGTCCACTTTCACCTTCTTGTACAAAGTATTCAAACGGTGGGAATGGGTTCATTATTTTAAAAGCAACCACAGTCAACCAGGTGCTTGGCCCTAAGCAGATAGTCCTTCCAGATATTAACAAGTAACTTACAGCGGTTGTTTTTAATTTTTCTGTTAACAATCGTGTCCTATTTCCAACTACCTAAGAACTATTTTAAACTGATCATTTTCACCTTAAGTTATAGTAATAGCCTGTAAATTCACTTCATGATTATAATGAATATCCTCACCTCTAGCAACCAAACACTATCGTGCTGGAAAACATTAAAATATAAACCGCCACTCTGGTCAGCACAGAGATTTACAACAAGATTGTGACACAGTATCAGTTACAGCTGGCTTCTCACTCTCAGTCCCCAAGCCATTTTTTTTTTTAAGAGTCTATTTTGGAATGAGACGGAGAGGGGAAAGATCGTTCCATAATTGCAAAATCTCTCAGCAATTATTTTCACTTACACTGCAAGCCTTTGGTTTAAAAAGATATACCTCTTTTTTACAATTACATATTTATTACAGATGTAAAACACACCAGTGGAACTTACTTGACAGTGACTCGATTTGATAAATCCTGTAGATCCCCGGGATGAAAAAGCTGGGCTTCTTTCAATCCAATCTGTTCACAAGCTTTCAAAAAAACGTTTATATTATCCTGTGAAAAGAATCAGAAAGTGATTGTTTAGCCGAGCTTGCTCTCAGACAAAGGTTACCAATTTTTATGATACAACTTCCCAGCTTCAAAGTCCAATTATAGTCAGCAAAGAGGCGGTGGCAAGAAGGACGCATAAGTGTATCTGAAAGAAGAAGGAAAAAAAAAGCCGGTGGACACGTATAGCCTTTCAGTCTTCCAGAGCATAAAAGGTGGTGCTATCTTATGCCCGAGCGTACACTCTTTCTGTGATCTTTGTGACTGGCACGTTAAACATTACCTGTTATAGGACAAGCGCCTAGCCAGTGAGCAGTAACCTACACTTTGATGTCAGCTCTGCTCCGCAAACAAACGCCCTCCCTCTTCCCAGCTTCGCACGCCAGGCTTCACCTCTTTAAAAATAACTCCAGCTACTGACATTCACCCACCCAGAAACTGTTGGCAGGGAAGAAATACGAGGAGGAACATTCTGTTTCTATGATTGCAAATTACAGAACGGCTATGGAATACCACACCTGGAATCTGGGTTTGGTTGCTGAGCCAGCTCGTGACAGGCACAGAGACCATGCTATAGGACCAAGGAGAAGCCTGAAGCTTATTGGCTGAACCGGACCATTGGGGAGTGGCATATTACTCATTCCCTGCACCTGTCTGAAGAGCTGCCTCCAGAAAAAAAAAAAAAACACTGAAAACCTATCTGCCACCTCCAAGCCTGCCCTCCTCTCTAATTTCAAAACTCCAATCCTCCATTCACGAACCAATGCTTGCCATTTTGCTAAGCTGCCACAGGACCACGACGGATTCTATTTTCAGTGCACTGTACTGCAACCACACACACTGGTTACTAGGATCAGCTTTGGCACCATCCCTTACCGCTCTTGAAGAAGAAGGACTTCGTGTGGCTGAGCTCCTGGTGACTCCCTGTGGACTCTTTACTTTTGCTTTGCCGGGGCTGTGGGTAGGGGAATGTCTTGCTTGCGTGCTAGCACACGCTTGTCCACTTAGGTTGGCTGGCAACACCGCCTCTGTGGCATGGGCCTCCCTGGAGCCACACCCACCCCCTCCCGAGTCCAGGTCCACAGACCAGAAGATAATCTGCCTCTTGGAGACGGAGGTACTCCCTACGCACAGGCAGCAAAGTCAGGATGAGAGGGAATATCAGAGACTAAGGGGACTTCAAGAAAGTGCAAGAGAAAGTGTGGCCAGAGAAACACAACACTGACTGCCAAGGAAGGGAAGGAAATTTAAAAAAAAAAAAAAAAATCAACAGCAGCAGCAAAACCTATTTGTGAAAGTGGGAGGGTGCTTTGAGCCAAACACAGTATGCACTAGGAACTGAAGTATTTGGATCCTTTGAAATAAGTTGGCCCCAAAGACCACAGAAATTTCTAAGAGGTAACAGAGTGGAGAGAAACTGAGGAAGACACCCACAATTGACCTCTGACCTCTACATGCACACACACACACACACACACACACACACACACAACTTATTAGCAAAATCCCAGTAGAAACACGATGACAATTTCACTGTTAAGCTTACAACTTCTAAATGCTACACTATCTATAACTATTTGAAAACACAAACCATTTTTAAAATGCCCACTCTCAGAAGAGCAGACAACAAAATGACTCATTGAGCCAATATCCCACCCCTGGCAAGAAGCCAAAGGGACAAAATAAACTATTAAGCATTTTCATATCTGCCTAACTTGGTTTTGAACAACTTAAAGTCACATGAACTGAGAACACACGGAAGAAGAAGAATGCTTGCCTGGTTAAATACAAGGCCTCAAAAGCAGGGTGCCTGGAACCATAGATAGATAGATAGATAGATAGATAGATAGATAGATAGATAGATAGATAGATAAATGCTGAAACAAAATCAAGCATAGAATAATACTAAGGAACTAAATAAGGGTAAAAAGAACAGGCATATTTTACAAAATCATAATGGCACTCACCTGGTGAACGAAATGTACAAGCTGATAAGGCAGAAACCACACATTCCTCAAAACCCATCTACGTATTTAGAGAGAAACCACTTCAAATCGAAAGTGACGAGGCTCCAGCAGGAACAAAGTTCAAGGAAAAATACAAGTGCTGTGATTACATCTTAGACTTGAGTAAAGCTCTTTATCAGCCACAAAGCAGAATGCTGTTTTAAAAGCTTAGTGGTACTTGCTCTCAAAGCAGGAAAACACTCTATATAAATTCACACACGGCCTATGCTCTGGGAGTGGGTTCTACTCCAATCAGAATTGTAACCTATATCATGCATCTTGGACTGGAGCCCACTGATAATTTATTTCCTGCAATTTCAAAGGATCCAGGCAGAGCATTGCCTCAGGGGATACACAAAATTATAAAATAAAATTTCCACGTCTGTTCCAACATCAAGCAGCCACACCCAGCTCAGCATAATAAAAAGAAAGCATTTAGCCCTCACTGGATGGAATTATTTTCATTTGATACTACCAGGAAAGGAAGGGGGTGCAAAACAAAACAACAGCAACAACAAAGTCCAAATGGGAATCAACCTCGTCTAATTGGCCTGGGAGCCAGGACTGGCTAAAGAACGATTAGTTATGCCTTTTGGCCCCATTTTCCTTACCCATGCAAGTGACTGGCATACAGATCTGCAAACCATTACACAGGGCAGACAATTCTCTCTGCAAGAAGAGGGCGCCCAAACCCCCAATCCCTTACACAAATACATATTCCATAGCCCACTTGTTAGAAAAGAGTTTCTGTCAAAGAGCCTGCTTTAAAAACACATAATCCCTACACCTGCAGTGCCAATAGTCACTTCTCAAAACAAACCAAAATAGTAACAATAAGTTCTAATGGTATCTAAGTGGCTCCTTCTCATTTACAGCATTTGTGTGGGGATGAAGAAAGGCAAACACTCTAGAAAAAGGAATCTTGATATTTTCACACTCTGCATCCCCCCTCTCCACATCTGATTAATCGTCAGGAAAAGTGGTGCTTACCTAAAACACAAGGATTAAAATGCCAGAAAGATCTACAAAGCTCTCCAGCTTGTGTTGGTCGATTGCAGGACCTTGGTTATGCAATGCTGCAAAACGAATGATCCTAAAATGGCCGCATAAGAGGCCGTGGCGTCTGATAATTTTGCAGATTCCAGAACGTACCTTGAATAGGTGGGGTTCTGACTTTGAGGACCCCTCATCGAACTGTAACTGAGAAGTCAGCCTAGTCTGCAACCATACAAAGGCTTTCCTGGTTCTGTGGCTGCTCCCAACCTGACTTACTCATGTGGATAGCAAATCAGGGCAAATAGATGTTTCCATACGGCCACCTGATAGAGACAGAGATCTAAGAGGACAAAGCGGAAGCTGCACTTCCTGGCTTTTCAAAATCTTGTTCTGTCATTTCTGTAAGATTCTCCTGTTACAGAGACCAGCCCTGTTCAGTCAAGACTACACAAGGCCATAAACAACAAATGAGAATCACCAGGCCACACTAGAATATTGGCTCCAACACCTCATTGTCTGGACATTAGAGATCCCTACCCCACTCATGAAAAATATTCACTCTCTCCCAAGGCCCCCCAAATTCCTGTTATTAGTACATTTGTTTAGTGTGTGTGTATGTGGTGTGTGTGTATGTGGTGTGTGTGTGTGTGTGTGTGTGTGTGTGTGTGTGTGTGTGTGAGTTAGTATGGATGCATGGATGCATGCCACAGCACCTGTGTTGAGGCCACAGAACGACTTTCAGGAGTGAGTCAGTCCTCTCTTTCTACCATGTGTTCTAGGAATCAAACTCAGGTCGCCAGCCTTGTGTGGTGGATGCCTTTACCCACTGTCTTAGTTGGAGTTGCTATTGCTGTGATGAAACATCGTGACCAAAAGCAAGCTGGGGAGGAAAGAAATGCTGCAGTCCATCACTGAAGAAAGTCAGGACAGGAACTCAAACCAGGTGGGAACCTACAGGCAGCAATTGAAGCAGAGGCCATGGGGGGGGGGGGCTGCTTATTGGTTTGCTCCTCATGGCTTGCTCAGCCTGCTTTCTTCCATTTCTTTTTAAACTCGTGACCCCCAGGCCAGAGATGCCACCACCCACAGTGGGTTGCCTCACCACTACCAACACCATCAACCACTGAGAAAATGCCCTGTGAGCTTGCCTGCAACCTGCTCTTATGGAGGCTTTTTCCTTTTTGTTGTGGGTGTTTGCTTTGTTTTGTGTTTGTTTTTAGAGACAGGGATTCTCTGTGGTGTTTTGGGGGCTGTCCAGGAACTTGCTCTGTAGACCAAGCTGGCCTCAAATTCACACAGATCCACCTACCTCCCTCTCCCACAAGCTGGGATGAAAGGTGTTCGCCACCAACATCCGGTTCTAAAGGAGGCACTTTCTTAATTGAGGCCCCCTCCCCTCATTTATCTTTAGCTTGCTTTCTAGTTAATATCTAACTATCTAGCACCACCACTGAGTCATTTCACTGGACCATAACCCCCAAATTCTCATCTCTTATCAAGGTGACATTAAAATGTGGAATTATCATCAAAGTCGGCTCCGGTTGCGCTTGAGGTTTCAAAAGTCCCATCCTGAAGTAGAGCCGTTGAGTACAGCTCCTGCCAACCCAACCACCTGTGAATGAAAAGGAAGTACCAGCCCTCTTGTCCTGAAAGCCTGCTTTACATATATGTAATACCTACACTGCTTTTTAGGGCCAAAGGTGATATCTCAAAAACAAAACCTGATAACCCCTAATGGTATCTAAATAGCTCCTTTTTGTTTACAGTGTTGCTATGGGGATAAAGGAAGTCAAAAGCCACAGAAGGAGCAGGAGGCTTGGGTTAGAGGGGAAATACTGAAGCCACAAGCATTCTCCAGGTGGAGGTGTGGAGGAAGGGAAGGCACACAAGGGCCACCTGTCCCTAGAAACTCCAGATGTTTCCCCCTTAGCACCCAAAGCCAGGGAGTCAGCTCCACGGTTTCTGGCTCCTCTCTCTGGAATCTTCAGGCCACCTTAAACACCA